GTGACTTGGATGCACAATGGTCAAAACATGTACAGATGTTTACAAAGTTGTCCCACATGCAGACCCAGGGCAAAGACAGAACCCTTACGGAGGCAGCATAGACTTGTATCAGCATGGCTGAACTGAACCATGTTCATATATTGCCTCAAAGGCAACTGGCATGGCCAGAGGGACAACTGTCGCAAGTCCAAACTGGCTGCCCACATAGCTCAGAGGACTTGCCCTCAGGGATCTGCTACTTTCCTGCAGAAGGATCACATAAGGCAGATGCTAATGGTGGCCTATGTTAGTGGTGGCAAAGATAATTCTGGAAACTTCATGCAAAATCCGCCCAAGCACCAGCTTGCAAAAACCTACCAATTCTACCCACCAGCCTCCTGTGTCTTTTCTAGGTTCTTAAAAAGCCAGAAATTCCAGAATAATTCAGTACAAAGCAAATTGTGTGCCAAGAATGTCTGTTCTTTCTTCAAGTGAGGCCACTCTTATTTTCTTTGCATATCACGTGTAGTAAACAGGTTGAAGCCAGGCATGACGGCACACACCTATATTCCCAGAACTCTGGAAGGCTGAGGCTGGAAGATCACAAATGCAAACCCAACGTGGGCACTTGGCAATTTAGTGAGGCCCTCTCAAAATAAAGAAATTTTTGGACTAGGGATTTAGCTTAGTGGTGCTACGCCTGTCTCACAAGCACAAGGTCCTGAGTGTGATCCCTGGCAGAAAAAAAAGAAAGAAAGAAAGAAAGAAAAAATTTAAATAGCCAAAAATGTAGCTCAGTGCAAATGTCCTAGGACTGAACCTCAAAATAAAGTAGGGAAAATAAATAGGGAGTACAGAACTTGAGCTTACCTAGTAGATAAGCATTAGTAATAGAGCTGGGCAAAGTTGAGTTAGAGTATAAAGACACTGATAAAAAGACGAACTCATAACAGTTGAGATTAGTTCTGACCATACAAAGATCCAAACATTTTTTCACATTTCAATTCTTAGAATCTACCCTGGATTGAATGAGATTTTTGTTGGGGGGTGGAGGGTTTCTAACTCATGTATAGCTTCAAAGGGAATCCATGATCACTCCCACAGACACACAAATCCCCTGTCCCTCACCCTTGTTTTTTATTAATCTCTTTTCCCCTTGACTTCTCTAAAACTGATCTATATCTATCATATCTATCATATATATATATATATATATATATATATATATATATATTACAA